TTAATAACGGAAAATAAAGAAATTTCTTTTCACTAGCGAAGGTAGTTTATTTATTCGTTTTGTTTAAATAAAACATTTCGTTCTCCTTGAATTTTATTAAATGGAAAGAATATTTTCAAATCGTTACTTAACGAAGTTTAAATGAATTTTTAACAGAGAAAAATTTCCTCTGAGAGTTACTTTTTTTTATACTTCATTATTTTACTTGTTAAGTAAGCGAAGAAAAAATTAATTAGTACGTTGAATACCAATATTCGGAAAATTCGATTTCATCGAAATTAAGGAGACATAAAAATTTCATTTTTCTTTTACCAGATTTTATATCGAAGTATGAAAAATTTGAGGAATTGACTCTTTATTATCAGTTCGTAAAATCAATATCTGAAACTGATATTAGATTCCATTCTCATTCTTCTACAAAAAAAAAAAAGAAGGGATAGCAAGGGAGAGTACTATAGTAATATCGCATATTTCAGATACTTGCTTTAATCTGCTTTAATTAGTTTTATATTACTTTTACTCTCGGATAGAAACTCAGAATATAGTCCGTTTTGAATTGCAAATTAAAGTAGCGTTACCGTTTAAATACACTTTAAGTAGAAACGTTCAGAAACAATTCACGAAGAAGATTTCTTATTAACGATTACCAAACTGAATATAAAGTGAAGAATCACCATTAAAAGTAATATTGTTTAACTAGAGAATGAATAAAGTTTTGTGAAAAAAAAAGAGAAGAGAAATTATTTTCCCGAGAGATGGGAATATTAAAAGAAGAATTAAAAACAGAATGTTTCGTTGCTAAACAGAAGATTAAATCACGTCGTTAAAATTGTTAAAAAATTAAAAAAGAGGAAAATTAACTTTCCTAACTAAAAATTTCTTACTTTTAAATATAACTATGAAGAAGATTAAAAATTGTCTTTAGTAGTACAAAACAACACGAACAAATTATGTTTACTTAAAAATTACACAGAAGGAAAATTATCTTTCGCAACTAAAAATATATATTTTCCTAAAAATTTATCTCCAAGTGTAACTATGAAGAAATTGAAAATTTTATATCTTCGTTAAGTTATCTTTAAAAATTTCAATTAATTACGTTTAAAAATACGAACCAATTGAATTTATCGTGTACTTGCATGAACAATTTATATTTATTTAAAAATAGCAAAGAAGAAAAATTAACATCCCCAACTGAAACTATGTATTTTCCTAAAAATTTATACTTTCAAATATGACTAAAAAAAAATAATTGAAAATTGTATATTCTTCCTAATTACCTGTGAAAGTATGAACCAACTGTCCAGACATCACGTGCCAAAGCTGAGCATCTTCTTGGAAAGGGACAACAATGACGTGCTGCCCAGAAGGAGTAGGTTCAACGAGATTCACACTTGGTGAACAGACTAAATTGCGAATTTGAAGAGGTAGAGGTGGCTGAAGCCATCCGTTCAGCGGTACCAATAATGGCGCCGTGTAGCCATCGCACCACGCCATTGCTGCTGTTACCATTCTGCTAACCTTAAATGAAAAATTCAGTCGGTAATATTATAAACAAAATATTGTCAATTTCTTTTTCTGAAAATTCAGTTATACACCGAATCACGTTGATCACATTTAAATACGTCAGATGCACGCTGAAACAAGGCGTGATACGCACACGGCGGACGCCGGGTCAAATATGACTCAATACTAAGATCTTGTAATCAATACTAAACGACTGTAACTTGGGTAATTTTTCGAATTTTCAAATTTCTTTTCGGGAGCATGTTCATTGCACTTCAAACTCTAAAACGAATGCCAAAAAGATTTCGATTTTATTCAAGCTAGCGAAAGGAAAATACCGCTTTAAGAGTCGATCTTTCTACTCAAATTGAACCGAACAGAATAACATTTATTATTTATCGAAGCAGAAATTTCTCACCAAATCGCCACCATCTTCGGCTACAGGTCTCAGCCAACAGATCAACTGCGCCCCAAGTTGAAGAGGATCCCTGGTCAAGATATCGCTGGACTTCCTCACCGTGTAATACACCAATTCCAAGTCCCTCTCGAGCAGATATTTCCTCGAGTATTCGAGGACACACCTCAGGTAGCTCACAGAGATCATTTGCACAGCAGCCAGGAGGAAATCGAACGCACAAACTGCCAGTTTCTTAAGTTTCTCCACGTCTCCGGCACGCAGCAGAGTCAGCCAGGCTTCCTCGACGTGTCTCAAATTGTAGGCCGTGTCTTGCGACCTGGGTCTGCTCTGGAAAGGCGTCTCTTTCTTCGGAGTCTCCTCTTCAGGAGGTGGTTTGTCGTCTTTGTCCTCGAAGTCCTCCGAGAAGAAGAGATTTGCGAGCTCTCCGTGGTAGCTTTTTAAAGTTTTTTGGTCGGGGAAGTACCTCTTGCAAGCTAGATCGCGAATTGGATATCGCCAGGAGAAGAGTAGCCTTCCGCTCATTACACGAACCTAGAAGAAAAAGGAACAAATTTTTCGTGGATTTTTCTTTGTTGTTGCTTAACCCCTTCTAATAACGAGCTGCACTCGTCAGGAATTTTTAAGTAACGAAGTATTGTAACTAACAAAGGAACACCCCGAAGTAATAATCACCGATTTTGATGAAACTTTGATATGTGGTGGATTTGAACGCGTGTTTTTCTTATCGGTAATCGTCCACGTTGAAGGGAAGAAAATCGCCGGGAAAATTGAGGATAGTAAAAATATTTAATCCAATATCTTGAAACCTATTAGAGATAGAGGGATGGTGTAAAGTGACGAAATTTCTATTTCCGAAAGATGAATGTAAAGAAATTTGAAAAAAAAAATCCATTTGTTCGACTAATATAAGTAAAAATGTAATTTTTCGTTCGTTTCTCTTGCAAAAAATATTTATCAATTTCTGCGTTCCGTAATAATACCGAAACTCGTTTGGAAGTGTACGCGCACTCGCGAATCTTCAACTTCGATTTATTCGGGGACAAAGCGTCCTATGGAAAAATATTACTCCACACTTTCGATTCATTTTTGCACGTACATTCGTCTCGTCTCAAGTTATATCCAATTTTACGAAAGATTACCTTCAAATATTCGCTGAGAGTTCTTCTAACCAAGCACCAAGTTGCAAAGTTGAACTGTCCCTCGTCGAGAAACAAGGGTCCATCGCCACCAGTTGGCATAATTACCTCGAGGATTTCAGTTTCCGACAAACCGTACTCCGTGGAAGCCAAGATCGCGCCGATTCTGTTAGCCGCACGCTCGCCTATCAAACTCTTCAGCGTGTCGAAAATTTGTGACGATGGCAACGATTTCTCGGGCACGGTGGAAACCGAGTCTGGAGGCTCGAGTAAAATTTCCTTCTGCCTTTCCTTCTGCAGCGGAGTGAGCCGTTGTAATTCCGGATTAACAAGTGTCGTTACTACCAAATGCACACCTAGAAGTATCAAAAATTCTGGTTTAGATGTGGCAAAAATAGTATTACTAAGAAAAATTCACTGTAATCCTAATTTTCGTTTGAATTCGTAAGACTGAGGATTACCGAACGTAATTAATCTGAAACAGATTAGCTTTCGTTACCTGATGCAGTACTAAAACAGAAAATGGCTGACGCTTAGATGCACAGTCAGAAAAGAAATCATAGGTTAAGGGGTTAAAGCGCTTAAAGTGTTAAGAGGTGAAGAACCCAGTTAACAGGTTTGTACATTTACCTGGTGGTAAATTCCACGGCAACCCCGACAAAGCGGCGTGCATGTCGCAATCGAGAGAATGCAGCCGATGAAGATCGTCGAGGAAGATCACCAGTTGTTCCTTCATCGGCTCCTCCTCGATTCGTCTCATAATTTGACCCAACCAATTGTTCACGTACAGAGGATCGAACGACGCGTCTTTAGGTAAGTTGCCGTCCAATAAGCCGGCAAGGAAACCGACATGTTGACAGAGCACTCGAAGCAGCTCGAGCCTATACGCTGATCGGGGAGTTGAAGCACAGAGGCGGACTACTTTGAAAGTGGCGCTGTCCAACCAGGAGGAGACATCCGTGTAAATTCTTGACAATAACGACGACTTTCCAGAGTACTTGCTGCCCTTTATGACTATCGGATTGTGTTTCTGAGTTTTACCTGTTGAACGTTACGGAATCCGAATTTGTTACCGGGTACGTGGAAGATGTAAGAAGGAAGATCGAAACTGGAGTTCCAACGTTGCGAGTGCCAAATTTTTCGAAACTGAGACAACGATACCGTGACTTTGTAAGTACCGTAGTACAGAATTATTGCACGAAATGAAAATTAGTATACTATTATACGAAAATTATTTTGTACCGAAAAATTCTCGAAATTCTCATTTCTATCTGAACCATAATTGCACGATAGTTAAGTACAACAGGTCTCGTTGTTTTCCGTTTCTCCTGAAAATTTTACTTCTCGGTACTTGAAACGTTGCGATCCTCAGCTCAAAGATTGTACATGTTTAATCGATCGATTGTTTAATTGTGACGTGGTGAATGAGATTGGTTTGAAGAAGATGTGATATACACATTTTCCGTTATCATAGAATATATAGGGTGGCATGTAACTAATGGTGATTCTACATGAGAAACTGTATCGAAAATATAAAATAGAATTTTTTTTCTAAGACACACTATGATTACTCGAAGAAAAATTCATTTCAAGTTAGTATTCGTTACGATGATTGGCAGATAAATAATAAATCGTCGAAGAAAATAATCATGTTCACCGGCTATCAACATCTCCTTGATCCGCTCGATATGTTCGTTGTCTTCGCTAGGCTTGATCTCTCTGAGCAACGCCAGATGCATCAGACTCTCAGCATAAACCTCCTGCACCATCTTTTTCTTGCTTTTGATCTCCGGGTCAGCCTCGATGGAGGCGTTCACCAGAGTCTGCACACGGTTCACCACCAAACGACAAATATGTGCCAGATAACCTTTGTGCGTCTTGTTCTCAGGATTAATGCCGCCGGTCTTCTGCTCCACTTCGACGTTAATCACGTTTTCGATAGGCAGACGACTGTTCACCAGGGATTTCAACGAAGCCACCGCTTTCGGACTCTTTTTGCCTTTCCATGAACGCGTCACCGCTATCACGCCCTCGCCCGTTTCATCTAGCTCTGGAAAAAAGGGTTTTCGCGGGCGCGTGAACGTGTGAGAAAAAGAGAAGGTGAGAATTTCGATTGGTTCTACTTTTTGTCTTTATTTTTGGATCACGATCGAGCCATTTCTTTTGTACGGAAATATTTGAAAACAAGGAATTCGAAGAATCTTGTACAGAGTGTAAGAAAATTAGGAATGCGACGAAAATTCCAATTTAACTATATGGATTAAAATTTTGCAAGAAAAATTAACGAAAATACAGTGATCAAAGTAATGAGTTTTTTAAAAAGTTGATTACACGGTTGAATTCCTTGTTTAGTAAAAGAGAATACGTGTTAGATATTTCTTTGAAAATGTTCACCATGTATAGGTTTCATAAAAATTGACGATTTTTACTTGGAGGCTGTTCGTTAGTGAAAAAGGGGGCAGTGTTTCGAGGAACTGGAATTAAAGTTTGTTGAAAGCAACAGAACACTGTTTTATCATTTTGCGTACAATGAAATGCTGTGAAATAATTGAAACAGTGTTAGAACACTTAATACCTGGTTCATTATTATAATGGTACGTGTAAGAGTACTGCAAAGTAGAAATTGTAAATTTGATTGAAAATCAAAGTTAAAGCAGACGAGAATTTGATTAAAAGTTGAAAGTCTGATTACACTGAAGCTGTGTGTGTAAATTTAAAAAGAAACTGCTAAATATTAAATAGTACAATAAATAAATTGCGAAAAAGTATTAAACAGTACTATAAATAAATTATAGAAACATGTTACACAGTAGAAGAAATAAAAATTGAAAATTGAAAGCAATTTTGTTGCTTCAAATGTGACAACTATTATCAAATTGAAAATAGGTTCGAGTTCAAAAATTAATATTCCAATGATATTTATTAAAGACTTACTTAAGGCATGTTCCAGCTGTCTTTCCGCGGTACTCTTCAATATATTCCTAATTTCTTCGTTATCACATTTCTCGGAAATCGCGGACTCTGCAGCCTTCTTCAACGCTTCCCTTATTGCTGGTTCACAGCTGTGCCAACTGTCTTTTGCAGTTCCTAATCTGTTAATTTTTTACATATTGACACAAGTTAGCTTTTCATTGTGCAAAAATATCCAACTATTTAAATACCGAATTGATATTTTATCGAAATGAATTATTTCTTTATTCGCAATTTTTAAACGAAAGAATTTCTCTTATAGTTCATTTTTTCATTCGAACGACATTTATTATATAAATCGTATAATTATCATGTGAAAGTTAAAGGAATTACATATTCATTTACGATTTTATGAAAAATATCTAAGGTATTTGCTATTTTAAAAGAAAAATTTGATAAATATTTCGCAGATTAATGTGGCTCGAATAAAAATTAACTGTGACAAAAATAAAACACTGAAATTACTATACAGAAGTAAAGAAATAAACATTATCCTTCAATCTGTATAACAGCTAATTGAAAAACTTGGTATTCTTAAAAATACATTTCCATCAAAATCTACGCTTTAATCTTATACTTTTAGAAATGCCTTTTAAATAAATTCTATATTAAATATTCATTACCACCAACGAAATCCGTTTAAAATTCCACAAAAATATACAAAAACAGAAAAATGCGTTCGAACGTATTGAAAATATGAAAAATATGAAAACTGATAAACCGCAGAAAAGGATCGAGATAAATTGATGCAAACAAAGTTATTCAATTGTAAAGTACCTTTTAATCACGTATAAATAAACACCGTAAATAACGCTCGAACCAGAAATACAAAAGGCCTCCTTGTAAAATAAGCTTCCGACCGAAGTTTCTTAAATCTTCTTAACATTATCACGCATCGTTTCTTTCAGAGAAAAAAGACAACTCGTCTAATACGGATAAAAAGGATGGAAACGGATAGGGGGTATTATTTCCAGTGGGGAAAAAAATATAAAGGGGGAGGCAACGACGAACGAGAGAAAGAGGACAAAACGAAGAAATTAAGCGAGGGGAGGAAAAAAAAAGCAAGGGTAACGAAAGTAATTGTGAAAGTCTTGTAAGGGGGCAAAAGGAGGGTAGGTAGAGGAAAAAAAAAGGAAAAAAGGGAAAATTGTAACGGATGAAAAGGGAAGTTCAAGGTGATGGAGAAGCCTCGAGTAGACGAGAAAACTATGTATAGGTTGACAAAGAGAAAATGAGAAGCCTATGAATGGTGGTGCCGAGCAAAAATGTCGCGCAGAGGACAGGCTGAAAGCATTATTAAAAGTGAGGAAAAGAAAATAGTATTTTTATATTTAAAATATTACATATTTATATAATAAAAATTCTTTCGAGCCATTCAGAAGCCGAAGTGACTAACTTCGTCAAATTGCATTTATTAAATTTCCTTTATTTATGAAGAGTTAAGCACCAAGCATGTGCTTCGAGTGGCTCAAATAATTACTTATACAGAGTGTTCCGAAAGGTTGGAGCTAAATTCATAAAGGGAACAAATGAAAAAGGTTCGTATGAACTTGTGTTCGAAAATTAAAAGATTATTCGCTTGATTTGTATCATTTGTAGATATATATATTAGCAAAAATTGCACGTTGATATACATTTCGTTCTTTTTGTAAGATACAAATCACAAGAATGACTTATTTTTCACCCTGCTTCAAACTTAAGAAATTATTTTAAGAAATTACAACAAATCGAAGCTTCGTTGTTCGTTAAGCAAAATTGTAGGATGCTCTGTAAATCACTATATTTCGAGTTATCAATTACGCCAGTTTCCATGAAATCGAGTAGCCCTGATTTCTTATAATTTCTTAATTAATTAATCATTTTCTGACATGAGTCCATACGAGCTTGTGCCAACTATTTGATCGCTTAAATACGTTGTATCAATTTGGTACCAACCTATCGGAAAACCGAGTAGTTAACTAAGTGTGTTGCATCTGCGCGATAGAAGTTATCAAACTGACTTTCGCGTAAAGTTAGCGATGTTGACGTATGAAATAGGATTGAAAATTTTCGAGGAAGTGAAGAGAGCTCCGATCGATTCAATTTTACCTGCATTTGCAACTCGAGAGTGTTTTCCATTAACTTTTTTAATTCTACCCTGTTTATGTATACAGGGTGTTCAACGAGAAGTTCGTTAATCTTTTTAGGAGAAGATAAAAGAGCTGGAAATTTATCATATTTATGGGAAACTCCTCTTCGTTTTCTCTTTGCAGAGTATTTGAGAGGACGTTGAAGTTAGTTTTTCTTTAAACATTTCACTTGTTGAACACATTTTATACACAACTGTAGGAACCGTCGACGGAAAAATATTGAGGGACCCAAATCCGACGAGACTTTGCGCGCTACGCCAACCACTCCCTCTCTATTCTCCCGTGCCGGTTTCCTATTTTTTGGGTATGGAGGCCCCGATACTACACAATTGCCTTCGGCGAACGATGGAAGTAATTTTATTACAGGATTCCTCGAAAAAGAATTTTCTCGGCTAACAAAAACACAAGAGAAACACGTTTTAAATGAAAAACTAAGCGAGCCACTTTATACAGAGTGTCCCACGTAACTGTCGCCACGATGCAGGACCGCGTTTATACCTTTGAAGGCCTTAGAGGCGCAACATCGTTACGAGGCCTCAAAGGAACAAGTGTATTTCAGTTAATCAAATTCATACACGTTTTATTTTTAGTTCGTTGAAAATAAGCATTTTTTTTATATCGTTGCTTGCGAGAAGTAAGGTTGTAAGTTGCGGTCCCGTAAAGAGTGAGGCCTCTAAGCCTGCGCCTAACACGCCTCATGGTAAACACGGCCCTGAACCGATGCGATGAAACTTTCGGAGCAAGTGTTACGGTTTTCTTGAAGTAGCCTGTACAAGCGAAACCAGGGAGATCCTGACGTAAGAGTAGGTGCGATAAACTACATCAGAGAGCGGTATTGTTTGAGGAGGGGAGGCAAGTAGATCATAAACGTAGAAACAGGAGTAGGAAAACGAAGGAGAAGGAAACGAGAGTGTAGCAATGAAAGCAAAGACAGGGCAAAATTGCAGGCTCAGATTGGTGTAATAAAAGCAACGTCCTTTCCATTATATTAGCCTGACCCACGCTCCCCGCTACCATTTTCATTCCGCTTCTATGCAACAGCATAATAAAACGTAACTACCTGCCAGCTTTTAAGACGTAGCAATCACTGTCCCGCTCATAGTACTCCTCCATGTTCGAGCAGTG